TACATTTATGGTTATGTTATAATCACAACACATCCACGCCGAATCACGGTTTCTTGGTGCGGCAGAAGGCCTTGCTTCGACTCAAAATGCAGACTCAGCGGAAATTGAGTGTGATGTTTGCGGCCACATTTTGTGACGAGTTGCCTGATTGTGGGCAAAGCAAGGGTCTTACCACATAAAACCATTCACTCTGCAAATTGGAAGTTTCCAGCCACGTGCCGGTTTTAAGCAAGAACCTCAAAGACTCTCCTACTGAGAAAAAGTAAAGAAGAATAATGGAGTAGAAGAAAGACATAAGAAGAAACAGGGATGGAGGAAAATAAAGCTGCAGTATGGTGGCTTTTCTTTTTCTTCATTTTTTGGTCAAATGTAGTGGCTGTCTAATGTTTGATTTCAGGGAGGGAACATTTTAAATTTAGGATTTCCTCATATTGGGCACTAAATAAGTCTAATGATGGGCCACCACCCCCTTTTTTCTACCCACACCCCCTTTTTCTACCCAGAGAAAACTAAAATGCCTCAGACATCACTTATTCAACCCGTCTTTTCATTCAGCTCCTCTTCTTTGCAATAGTGGCTACCCCACTACCCACTACCACTATCCCAATTTTACATTTTGCTTATGATTAAATTAGTTAAGAAAATATGGTTCTCTCTATTCTGATTTACTCTACATAATCTTTTCTATTGATTGCAATTATTATATTCATACATTTCAGCAATTGAAGCGGAAAAGTGAGGCAGCTGGTTTTGAAGCTGATTCAGGAGTTAGGATGACTCCTGGATCCACTGAAGCAGCCAGTAGTCCTTCTCAGACGCCTGTATCCGGAAAGATGGGGAAGGGAGGCAAATCCTCTAGGCTGACAAAATGCAACAGATCTGGAATTCAAACCCCAGGCTCAAATATTGGTGAGTATTATCTTCCAAACTTTGCTAAGAAGGATTCTATATTTATCATTTTGATAACATATTAAAGGAAAATAAAGATAACCAATATTTTGGTCGACAACTAGATTTTTATTAACCAACAAACACCATCTTTCCATTAAATGTCGATATTGGCAAGCAAAAAATTATATTCTCTCTTTTAATTTGGCAGGTTCTCCTGCAGGAAATAATCTCACCCCTGCTGGTCCATGTCGATATGACAGCTCTTTAGGTATTACTTAAATTCTCATCCTTGATTTGTTCATTATCAATCATCAGAGGTTTATTGTTATTCAATCTTTATAGTGTAAGTTATACGTTAAACACTTGTAGTTTCTTCCTTTTTAAAATAACCTCCACTAATCTTTCTTTTTTTATCATGACAGTGAGTCATTTAACCCCTGAGCTTTGGTTTAAGTTTAAAATGTTTTTTAGTAACTTTCATGTCGAGTATTATTTATTGAGTAGTATGAGGAACACTCTTTCTAACACACTCTCTTATTGGGTGAAATCATGTGGGTCCCTCCGCTTTATGTGGAACCCATTTTTAAAATGGCGTGAGCCACATGAATGTTACCAAATGAGAGAGTGAGTATCGGACAGACTGTATAAATGAGTATTTCTAGCACTCCTCTTGTTTATTTTAAGTAATTTGGGGCAGGTTGAGAAAATGTTGAACTTCCATTTAAATTGAAGATTTACTATTTTTAAGTAAAACCAATGTTTGGGGTGGTTAAATGGAAAAAACAGTTTAGGTGGGTTTATTTGTAATGTGGTGTAAGTAATGGGGGTAAAGTGTAATCTAGTCCTTTGTTATATGTTTTACTGATGAATTAAGTTTCTGGATACATTTTCTTATTATCCTACATATCACTTTGTTTAAAAAATTAGGTCTGTTGACAAAAAAGTTCATCAATTTAATTAAACAAGCAGAGGATGGTATTCTTGATCTAAATAAAGCTGCTGACACATTAGAGGTAACATCGTGGTCTGAAGATTCCATGCTGATTACTGAAAAGTTCGGTTACATGACAAAGCTTTTGTGTCTACAGGTGCAAAAGAGGAGGATATATGATATAACAAATGTTCTTGAAGGGATTGGCCTTATAGAGAAAAAGCTCAAGAACAGAATTCAGTGGAAGTAGGAATTCTTTCTATTAATCTGATATTGTTGTCATATTTTTTATTCAAGAAGTTGAAACAATTCTTACCATCTCCTTTGATGATTGACCAGGGGCCTAGATGTTTCAAAACCAGGGGAGGCTGATGATAGTTTTGCTAGTTTACAGGTTAGGAGTGATTACATTTTGTCTTTGGAAATTACGTGGAGATTATTTTCTTTGGAAGGTCTAACGTCTGGTGGTTTAGTCAATTTATAATTTCTTGTCAAGAACTTTTCGTTACTCAGACCAAAGCTACCTTGACTTTGAATCATTTTATGTGAGACAGCTTGTCAATCATTTTTTTAATTATTTGATTGAATTAGATTTCAAACTTTCTGACTTACATGATTTAAAGCATATAATAGATAATAGATTTGAAAGTAGTATTTAATCCTGACACGTTTTGGTGATGATTTGTTTTCATTTCTCATATGCAGGCAGAAATTGAAAATTTAACCATGGAGGAACGCCGGTTAGATGAACAAATAAGGTTCTTGCCTATGCTGGTTCTTCTTTATTGCATAATTGCAGTGTTTGCCTGTAGTTTATTAAGAGTTTAAGTTTTTTTAATTATTGCAGGGAGATGCAAGAAAGACTAAGGGTTCTTAGCGAAGATGAAAATAATGAGAAGTAATATTATTTTACCTTAATCCATATTTGGGTCATTTTGCCAACATTATTTGATGTATTTATTTTTAATCTATTTCTACTCAAAGGTTGCTTTTTGTCACTGAGGAAGATATAAAGAACTTGCCTTGCTTCCAGGTTGGTTTCCCTATCTATGAATTTCAATATATATGGTGATTCTGTTTCCTTTGCTTATCTATAAATTCATTTTGGATTTTAACTATTGCTATTTTCCTATTTCCAGAATGAAACCTTGATAGCAATTAAAGCTCCACATGGAACCACTTTGGAAGTCCCTGATCCTGATGAGGTATTTGAGAGGGCATGAAGAGTTGTCTAGAAGTAATTTAATAACCCATGTATCTATCTAACTGCAAATTCCAGCTTTCCTGTCAGGCCGCTGATTATCCACAGAGGAGATACAGGATAGTCCTGAGAAGCACAATGGGCCCAATAGATGTTTACCTTGTTAGGTATGCTTAATATTTTTAGGTGTTTTGCTATCATTTACTTGAAGGGTCATTTAGCTATTGCAATGGCATGGTCAGACCATGCCATGTAAAGCAATGATGCCTGAGGCTTGCAACATGCTAGATAGAGTTAACATTTCCTGATCTCCCCTTTTTCACCTGCCAATCTAGTCAATTTGAAGAGAAGTTTGAGGAGATCAACGGTGTCGAGGTCGCACCTAAAATTCCATCTAGTCCAGAAGTTAGCCAGCATCCATCAACTGTGGTCCCAGAGGACAAAGGGAAGGAAATAGAAGTGCATAGGCAAGACGGTGAAGGACCTAGTTCAGATCTTACCAACAGTCATGACTTCGTGAGTGGGATCATGAAGATTGTTCCTTCAGATGTTGCTGTAAGCATCACCTCAGTTTGAGATATTTATTTTTTGTATTTGCAAAGAATGATCCTGAGGGGTTGAGTACATATATTGCTAATTGTTAGGAAATAGTATACCTTATGCTCAGAGTACCAAAGTTTGTGGGTGTCATCTTTCAAAACACATTACTGCATGTTTTTCTTTTTTTTTTCGTGAAAAGGGTTTAGAGCTGTTTCTGATTTAAGAAATAAAAGCAAAAATCTAGAGCTAATTTGAAATTGTGGTTTATTTTTGCAGAGTGATGCTGATTACTGGCTTTTATCAGATGCTGATGTTAGCATAACTGACATGTGGAGAACAGAACGTATCCTCTATAGACACCTTAGTCTCCATTTCATTCATTATTCATCTCTATCACTCACAAACACACTAGGAGAGAAGTTTGAAAGTTCCATATTTTTAATAAAATAATTGAATCTTGAGCTGGAGATCTGGTGTAATTTCCTAAATATATTTACAGCCGGAGTTGAATGGAATGAACTCAACGTACTTCAAGAAGATTATTGTATGGCTCGCGAGGACAATACAACCCCAAATCATCCTTTGAACATAGCTGGTGAGGACAAAACAACCCCAAATCATCCTTCGAACATAGGCGAAGTGTCTTCTGCAGCCAACCCTACTGTAGGTTGAAGCCTTGAAAGTGTTAATTGTGAATCTAAAGAGAAATTGGTATTCTTTCTCAGACTGAGAACCTATGACATCCAGCCATCCCCCTGTTGTATCCTCTTCAACATATTCCCAGAGGTTGGATTGAAGGTTCCTAGAAGCTGTCCTGAGCAACTAAATGGTCAGTCAAATGACTAATTGTACAGTTAGTATTAGGTAATCCATGCAACTTTGTACTTCAAGAGAAAAAACCTACGGCTTTGGTGAACCCATCTTTTGTATATTGTTGTAAGTCTCGGTGTTCTAGTGCGGTTAACTCAATTAGCTCAATATGTGTTTGCAAAGAAATAAAAGAATACATTTCAGATTGTTAACTGAAAAATAGAATAATGCTCTCAGGCAATGCGCATTTCTCAGCTAACTGTTGGTCAAATGATAAGTTTCATATGAGATTCTATCATCATTACGTTTCTTAGAAATCTTGTAAATAACTTTTTGTTTTTATCTGTTTATCTTTCTTTACTTTCAAATTCAAATATCAGCTTCTCTACGCGGTAACACACCAGCACTAGTGAGCTACATCAAATGCCACCATATAATTGAGTTATAGCAATGTTGGTAGATAAAAATTGTTTATTATTTAACATCACTTTAGCTATTGTTGACAATAAAATGGATTTACATGTCCACGAGTGTGGAAATAATGTTACTCTGGCAATGGAAATGACAATATATTACAAGTAGTATATACTACAATAAAAACACTGGTATTTGATGGTCCACTATTAGCTACTTATCTTTCTCAGCTTTCTTTCCAATCCAACCAGCTACAATTGTGGTAAGTGCTACTGTGGGTGGAAACCTAATTGGTGATGCAGCTTTATGTGCAGCATATGCCAAAGCAAATGTACCAACTTTTTCCCCGGTCGCATCAGTATTGATTCCTACCTGAAGATAAAAAATCATAATGTATCAATCATAGCAGTTATTTTGTTTTAATCACATTGCAATCAGCATTTGATTTTGCATGAGCATTGTACCTTCTGAAGCAGAGTTTGAACATCTACTCCAGCATTGACTAGTGCATAACAAAGAGCAAAAGAAATCAATGACAGAGTAATGGAGGTGGCCAAGTATGCTCCTCCATATTTTGCCAGCAACTCCTTGGCTTGATCCCCTTTAGATTTCTGTTGTTCATCCCCTTCTTCCTTTGAGCTAAAAATCTGCAAGAGACCATAATATTCCTTTGAGTTTAGGATTTAGGGTTTAGGAAGAGTAAGTGTTTCATATAGTCTATTGTGCATTGATGCTTGAAAATCGTTCTGGACACCAGCAACAAACCCCGTTACAACTCCAGCAGGTACAAGTATATGGTATTGTTCATTTTTTCTATCAGAGACGGTAACCTAATTGGCGCCGATTTGGAAAAAAGAATTAAGGGAACAATAATGAATGCTTAAAAACTCCACTTATATTCATTTTCATTTATTTTGGTCAAATTGACCCTGATTAGGTTACTGTCTCATCAGTAATTAGTAAAGATGTGGAGAATCTTAACCTTCTACTTCAAAGGGGGAGATCGTTATCTAAGTTTTGAACTACATTCAAAACCTGTCCACTGTAAGCCACATAGAAAACTTCCATACTCTAGCAATTGCCATATAAAAAGACACTCAATCTTGACTGTGTAGAACATTTCTTGAAGGTAAAGTTTCACCCACAACACATGTTTTGTTCCCCCAAAATCAAGGAAAGATAAACAACAACATCCAAGCCTTATTCTATCAAGTGGGATCAGCTACGTAAATCAAGTTCTGCCATAATGTTTTATCCAAAACTATACCTATATCCAAATCGTTAATGTCAAGATCTTAATAATTTTTCTAGATCTTTCTCTATCTCGAACTATTTGACTCATTTCTATCATATCTACTCTCCATCGAATCTATAGATCTTTTTTCTACACACTCAAATCACATAAGTCTATTTTTCACATCTTTTCTATTATAGGGTTACCTAACACTCTAATTTTGACATTTCTAATCTTATCCTATATAGTCTTACCATACACAACATCTTTATATCTCTCCTACATTTACTTTATTCTCGCGTTAATTTTTAACCGTCTGACATCCTGTCTCGTACAACATCGCAATTTTTCCTTCAACTTGAATGATACCTTTGTGTCATATAAAATCTCCGAAACCCGCTTCCATTTCAGGCACCCAACTTGACCTTGACGGTTTACATTCCTTTTTATTTCTCTATTGGTTTGTATTATAGACCCAAGATATTTAAAACGTGAATATCAGGAAAAGATACATATGCTAAATGAAGAAGTTGAAAGAAAGCCTAAAATAAAAATCAAGGATAAACTCAAAGAAAAAACCTGGACTAAGTTGCACATCTCTTGTTCCATACACAATATTTAATCTTAGACAGCACATATTCTACATGACAAGCAAAATCAGTCATTTTGGCAAAACTTGTTCAAGACTAATTTTTTCCTTCAAAATATATATACTTTCCCTGAAAATTTCAGCAATAAAATCCTATCTTAGAATATCCTTTGTATATATCTTTTGCTTCCTGTAAGCTGAATCCAAACTGGATACATATTTATAGAGTAGGAAACAATACACTCTTTGCATTAAAAGCAAGAAAACAATAAACATAATCATGAAAATAGAAACTGAAAGTCCTAACTAAACCAAAATAGATAAGAGAGAAAAAAAACAGGCACCTTCCAAAGACCAGCTTCAAGACCATACTTCTTAGTGACATCCTCAGGTGAAGATGTCTTAGAGGGGCTTTTGATTTCCTCAGTTTTCTCTCTAACAGCTCTAACTCTGAACGCTTTGGATTTACGTGACTGAATTGAAGCAAGACCGCAACAAAATTTATAACTCTCTCTGTTGGTCAGTAAAGAAGCACAAGAAGGTGATGGAAGATGAAGAAACGTTGCCATTGTTGGATCCTTAGAGCATGCGTTATTTGTGTGAGCTCAGTTGAGCCAACAAAGAGAGAAAAGAAAGACAGTAAACTAAACGATAATGATACAATAAAATATCAGTGGTTGTGTCGTTGTCTGCTTACATGTCACGAAGGGAAATTCCTCTTTGTCAATTTTAACGGGCTCTAAAAAATAAGCCCAAAAGAGGTTGTGGCCAGAACACAAACACATCTAATTACATTGTAGTATTTAAAATTATTTTAAAATTAATGTATAAACAACATATTCATATTATATTATAATAATTTAAAATTGTATATTAATAATAAAGTAAAAATATATTCCATTAATCTTAAGTTATAAGTCACTTAGTAAAAAAATGTCCCAAATTACAAAATTGGATTTACATTGGTAATGCTACATTATTTTTTCTCTCCTATTCTATCATCTACTAGTATTGTTTACTACCCTCCATCTTTATAATTTTTTAAATTTTCTTATGTGAATGACATTTTTGTAAAATTTAAGATGGTGTGATAAGGAGTCATAATTGTTAATGAATTAATAGAGTGGATTTTTTATGTGTCGTATATATTTTTGATGTATTTATTTAGAATGAATATGTAAGGTTAATATTTTAACATCTAAATCAGTGAGTGAATAAAAAGGAATAGAGTAGAGAGTGAATAAAAAAGAACAGAGTAAATTATGATCAAAATCGTATTTTAGACTACACATGTGATGACTTATATACAGTAGATAACAATTAAGATATTGAGTTTGTGATCGGTCCAAAATAGTTATCTCTAAAAGCTGATCCAACGTAATGTATGAGTAGCATTTCAAAAATAGGGCCGAGTCCTCTACAACGAGATCCTTATGTAAAGACGTAGAAAGAGATTCAGAAATAGATGCAATAAGACGTTTCATAGAATTTCCTCACATGGGACCATAAATTCATACTTCCCAGGTGACTTGAGTACACCCAAGTATCATTGTATTTTATAGGCAAGATATGATCTTTGATTTTCATCTTTTCATTTTTTTTCTCTACACAGGAGTGGAACTGCAAGATGAAATGAAAGTTTTCTCTAAATGAATTATTTTAAAGTTAGGCAGCAAGTCAATTTTAAAAAGGAAGACAACAAATTAATTTTAAAAAGAAAGACTCAATTATTTGAATTTTTTTAAAATAACCTATTTATTCAATTTAAATATCAAAATAACATTTTTTTTTCAATTTTTTTTTCTAAAGTAACGTAGTTTCAGAAGAAGAAAACATGCAGATGCCATTTTAGTTGGAGTATATGCATTATGTCAAAACTCATGCACCATTTGATTTGGAGCATATTTGGAGCATACACATAGGTGTAGCCAAATTAAATGGCGCATACTACACCTCTTGCCCTAATTTGGAGTGCATGGGCCATATGAAATTGTGCATCCTCCCTAAATTATTTTTTTTGTTTTATTAGGAAAATGAATTGAAAATAAGTTAAAAATTGAGGAAAAAATAAAAACAAATAAGAAACAATTAAAAATATTATTAAAATACATTAAAGTTTACAGTAAATAAAAAAAATCAATGTCTGGCCTGATTAAAACGTCCTCCGATTCCACATCCCCACGCATTAGCATGCCCTGAGGTCTACCACAATTTTTTTGAGGTGTTTGTGGTCTTTGCGTATTAGCCTGCGGAAAAGGTATTTGTTGCGAGAGACTCGTTTAAGATGTGACGACGTCGATTCTTCCAATGTCGACACATCTCTTTAGCAAAGTCTCTCCAATCATCGTAACCCTATTGTGCATCTACTCTCATTTGATGGCAGTCTCCCAAACACGTCAGATCAATTGGAATATCTTGTTGCATGCCGAACTGCAGTTTTACTCGATCACATTGGTGCATCTCCACTGTAGTGAACCGAATGATTGATATTTTTATTGTCTAGACCGCAACATCATCGGGATTAGGCTGATGGTTGAGACCCAGATACGACCTCCAAACAAACTGCATAATTAAAATAATTAATGAGAAAAATTGCATTGTGTTAATTTAATAGCCAAATTTATAGTAGTGTAAGAATAATTTACATCGTTCGGCCCAATATGGTCTAAAAAATTGTGGTACACAATTATTTTTTTTTATTTTTTTATTTTTTGCATTTTTACACAAGGCACTATATAGATGGGCCAAAATAGTTGTACACCAATTATAAGTGCCTACTTTATGAATGTTGCGTAACAACGACAAATACATAATATTTACAGTATTTTCAGTACTTTCAGAAAATAAAAAATGTCCAAATAAAATTATAATATAACACCAAGTTTTAATTATTTTTTCATACTCGGTGGATTCGCCGTCTAATGTGATATGTGCATAATGTTCTCTAAGGTATTTTAAATTTATACCTTGACCCCTAGATTGTCCTGCACGTTGTGTCTGATTTGTCTCTTCACAAAGAGAGACACCCAACAAATGTTTGCAAATTTGGTTTTCAATTCCAACTTTACCGTTAAAGGCCTTACCATCGATGTGTAGACCCATCAACATATACACATCTTTCAATGTGATGGTGCATTCACCGAATGGAAGGTGAAATATGTGGGTCTCGGGTCTCCATTGTTCTAGCAAAGCTATAATAAATTTGGTGTCAATTGAGTATGAAGTGATGTTTATCAAATAACCGAAATCACATGATTCAAGGTATGGTTCTATGATTGGGTCGTGTGGTATATAGTCATGTACATGACATTGAAATCTCCTTACATCCTAACAAAAGATATAAAGAAACTTATTTATAAAGACAAAACAAATAAGTAAGGGGAGACAAAACAAATAAACCAAAAAACTTAGAAATGCTGCAATATTCTCAATTGTTCCTATGTGTTCGCCGCCCAAAGTAAGTAGAGACATTTTTGTGGCTTGGAATGAGGGTAAGTTGTGAGGAGAAAAATTTGCTTGCTTAAAGTTGAAAGTTGTGAGGAGCAAAGTTGTGAGTAACATATTTATAGTGAAATTCCTCTCTTCACGTGTTAGGTTAGAATACTAGGGTTTGAATGGGATATAGACATACACGCTATACCATATGGTGTATGGGTTGTGTTTAATAGACATACACGCCATACCATATGGCGCATGGGTTTTAAATTAAAAGAAGGTGAGCCAAATAAAATGACGCCTTCTACTATTTTCCATGCGAGGAATTATTGTGTAAGGCATATCTTACAAGAATCTTGTGTAAGACATCTCTTACAAATGCATGTGAAGTTCTTTAAAGCATTGTCTTATCTTGTAAGACTATGATACAAAACCATATTTGTAGGCATGTTGTGTTAGACTATGGCACGGATCTAGAAGGGGGGGGGGGGGGGGGGAGGGTTGAATAGATCCCCAATTAAAATTTGAGTCGGCGCTACCAATTTAAAATTGGTTTTAAAAATGTTTTAAGTGAGGAAGTAGCCGAGGAAAATATAGTCTAAAACGAACGGTTATTGGAAAACCGGATATGCGTAAGCCTTTGGATTAATGACAATTTGGAAAATAGAATCACAACACTAATTACACTTATCAATTATTTACTTCAGTTGTAAGGATTCCTAGTTCCAATGGTTCAAAGAGCAAACCAACACTAGGTACACAAGTAAGATAATTTTGGTTCAAGCAATATGTCAAACACTTGGTGTGCAAAACACTCGAAGTGATATTTATGTTGAGTAAGTGATTCCAACCAGCCTAGTACAATGTCTTGTTGTACTTTGGAGTGAAAAATAGAGTTTTAACCTGTTACTCAATTGATATCACAATTTTGACAATAGAGCTTATACAAAAATCACTTATTTTGAGCTATAATGTAAATGCTGAAAATAGAGAAGACAAGTATTTGGTGAGGCAGTTCCCCCGTCGTCCTCGCTTCGGGGTACATCTGCCCTCAATTCTAAAACTAGAATTGAGATAGATTTTATAGATATCACCTGTTGAATGTAGTTTATACAAGGATTGAGCAGCAAATATACAACAGAAATCTCAATGTGTTGAAAGTTGCCTTCACTCCTTGCCCCTTGATTCAAGATGAATCAAGTCCTCCGATTTGTGTTGATGGACCTCCGACTCCAGCCACCTTATTGAATAACACGTTGTTGTTCAAACCTTCGGCTCCGGATGATCTCAACAGCACCAAATCGACCCCGAGATCTTCCCTTTAAAACCACCGAATCCGCTACTAGACTTGTGAAGAACACCTCTTCACAATCACCTTCGCTCGGTTGACCCTTGATGAAGAATCTCGTCCAAAACCCCCAAAATTCAAACCAATCTTGGAGGGAAAACCCCAATGGTTTTATTCAAGAAAGAACCTGTCACAAGCTTCAACCCGAACTTGATTCTCCAATCTAAGCTTCGAACCTTATCACCTTGAATCTCTCACAAATGCATTTCAAAAATGATTGTGTGTAATTGAAATGTTGTGAGATGTTGAAGATGAAGATGATGAATCTTGGACACCTATTTCACTCTTTCTTGTTTTTGAACACATGAATCAAAAGAATATCAAATGTTAAAATGACACAAGTGGTTAAACAAGTGGTTAAAATGCCAACATAATTCTAGATATAACAGCATTTCAAATATAAGAGGGAAGCATTTTAAAACAGATTTTCCACGCGAACGGTCGACCGCAACAGGTCTGTGCGTCGACGCATGGCCTGTGTTGTTTGGAAATCTAGAAAATTCACCAGTGTGCGTCGACCATACAGTCGGCGTGCGCTGACCCGTTGAAATCTATTTCCATTATGCGCCGACCCTAAGGTCGACTCATGCCTTTACGCGCTGACCCGTTGGAAAGTTATTCCTTCATGTGCCGACCCTATGGTCGACTCATTTCCTTGTGCGCTGACTAGTGCAAAATTGTTCTGATGCATGCGCCGACCCTATGGTCGACTCATGCCCTGCAAACCTGCAAAAATTCATCAGTTTGAGGTTTTTCATGCCTTTGGTCATGATTGCATTTTATCTA